GAAAACTTGTTCTCTTAGCATTTTTCAAATATACAGTATAGTATTAATAACTATAGTTACCATGCTATACATTACATCCCCAGAACTAACTTATCTAATAACTAAAAGTTTGTACCCCTTGATCACTTTTACCCATTTTGCTCCTTTTCCCCAACCACAAGTCTGTGTTCTGTATCTGAGTTTGAGGAAATCAAATTTCTTGTTACATAGTAAGTATATAGCATCTTTCATTTTTTTAAAGATATATTTTATTGATTTTTTACAGAGAGGAAGGGAGAGAGATAGAGAGCTAGAAACGTCGATGAGAGAGAAACATCAACCAGCTGCCCCCTGCACACCCCATACTGGGGATGTGCCCGCAACCAACGTACATGCCCCGGATCAGGATCGAACCTGGGACCCTTCAGTCCGCAGACCGACGCTCTACCACTGAGCTAAACCGGTTTCGGCAGTATATAGCATCTTTCAAAAACAGATCTACAAATGAAAATAAAGAATACATATTTTTTACCTTGAAGAATGAGAATAATTAGTTTTGATAATCTCTTTTACTTGAAATATGAGAACATAGGTTGTGTGATGGCAAATGACAGCTGTTTTGTAGCAAAACGCTGTGTTTAGAGTCAGGAGACCTTTTCCTGAAGTATGGGGATCTAGCTCTCCCAACAAAGATTAAGAGGAGGTGGGATATATAGGGTGTCCCAAAAATGTATACACTCACCTTGAATAATTATAAAGGTAGTGTTTACATTTCATTTTCTTTTTTTTTTTTTTTTTTTTTTTTTTTAATTTTACATATTTTATTGATTTTTTTTTTTGCCCCCCTCCTTCCCTCCCACGTATCCCCTCCCTCCCCAGAGTTTTATGTCCATTGGTTGTACTTATATGCATGTATACAAGTCCTTGGGTTGATTTATTGTCTCCCCCAGACCCTCCTCCACTCCCCGTTGTAATTTGACAATCTGCTTGTTGCTTTACTGTCTCTATATCTATCTTTTGGTTCATCAGTTTATAATGATCTTTATTATCCACAAATGAGTGGGGTCATGTGGTGTTTCTCTTTCATTGATTGGCTTATTTCACTCAGCATGATGTTCTCCAATTCCATCCAGGTTGCTGCAAATGATGAGAATTCCTTCTTTTTTATGGCAGCATAGTATTCCATTGTGTAGATGTACCAAAGTTTTTTGATCCAATCATCAGCTGACGGGCACCTAGGCTGTTTCCAGATTCTGGCTATTGTAGATTGTGCTGCTATGAACATAGGGGTGCATATATCCTTTCTGATTGGTGTTTCTAGTTTCTTGGGATATATTCCTAGAAGTGGGATTACTGGGTCAAATGGGAGTTCCATTCTCAGTTTTTTGAGGAAACTCCACACTGTTCTCCACAGTGGTTGCACCAGTCTGCATTCCCACCAGCAGTGCACGAGGGTTCCTTTTTCTCCGCAACCTCGCCAACACTTGTCGTTTGTTGATTTGTTGATGTTGGCCATTCTGACGGGTGTGAGATGGTACCGCATTGTTGTTTTGATTTGCATCTCTCGGATAATTAGTGACTTTGAGCATGTTTTCATGTGCCTTTTGGCCTTCTTTCTGTCTTCTTTTGTAAATATTCTATTTAGGTCCATTGCCCATTTTTTAATTGGATCATTCATCTTCCTTTTATTTAGTTGTATCAGCTGTCTGTAGATGTTGGAGATTAAACCTTTATCCGTGGTATTATTTGCAAATATATTCTCCCATACCGTGGGCTTTCTTGTTGTTTTGTTGATGGTTTCTTTTGCTGTAAAAAAACTTTTTATTTTGATGTAGTCCCATTTGTTTATTTTCTCTTTAGCTTCCATTGCCCTAGGGGCAGTATCAGTGAAGAAGTTCTTTTGGCATACGTCTGAGATTTTGCTGCCCGTGGATGCTTCTAGTATTTTTATGGTTTCCCGTCTGATGTTTAAGTCCTGTATCCATTTTGAGTTTATTTTTGTGTATGGTGTAAGTTGGTGATCTAGTTTTATTCTTTTGCATGTGTCTGCCCAATTTTCCCAACACCATTTATTGAAGAAACTGTCTTGACTCCATTGTATATTCGTGCCTCCTTTGTCAAATATTAATTGAGCATAGTGATTTGGGTTGATATCTGGGTTCTCGATTCTATTCCATTGATCTATATGTCTGTTCTTGTGCCAGTACCAGGCTGTTTTGAGAACAGTGGCTTTGTAATACAGTTTGAAGTCTGGTATTGAGATCCCTCCTACTTTACCCTTCTTTCTCAGGATTGCTGTGGCTATTCGGGGTCTTTTATTGTTCCAAATGAACTTTTGGAGAGTTCTTTCTAGGTCGGTGAAATATGCCGTTGGTATTTTAATGGGGAGTGCATTGAACCTATAGATTGCTTTAGGAAGTATGGACATTTTGATGATGTTGATTCTACCGATCCATGAACATGGTATATTCTTCCATCTCTTTACATCTTCCTCTATCTCTTTTTTCAGTGTCATGTAGTTTTCTGCATATAGGTCCTTTACTTCCTTAGTTAAATTTATTCCTAGGTATCTTAATTTTTTTGGTGCGATGGTAAATGGAATTGCTTTTTTAATCTCTGTTTCTATAGTTTCGCTGTTGGTGTATAGAAATGCCGTGGATTTCTTGGCATTAATTTTGTATCCTGCTACATTGCCAAATTCATTTATTAAGTCAATTAGTTTTTTAATGGAGTCTTTTGGGTTTTTTATGTATAATATCATATCATCTGCAAATAAGGATAACTTTACTACTTCTTTTCCAATTTGGATGCCTTTTATTTCCTCCTCTTGTCTAATTGCAATGGCTAGTACTTCCAGTACTATGTCAAACAGGAGTGGCGAGAGTGGGCATCCCTGTCTTGTTCCTGTTCTTAGAGGGAATGGTTTTAGTTTTTGCCCATTGAGTATGATGTTGGCTGTGGGTTTATCATATATAGCTTTTATTATGTTGAGGTATGATCCTTGTACTCCCACCTTGTTGAGAGTTACATTTCATTTTCAAAATTAATCTATCGCCGAAGCCGGTTTGGCTCAGTGGTAGAGCATCGGACTGCGGACTGAGAGGTCCCGAGTTCGATTCCGGTCAAGGGCATGTACCTGGGTTGCGGGCACATCCCCAGTAGGGGGTGTGCAGGAGGCAGCTGGTCGATTTTTCTCTCTCATCGGCGTTTCTAGCTCTCTATCCCTCTCTCTTCCTCTCTGTAAAAAATCAATAAAATATATTAAAAATAAAAAAAACAAAATTAATCTATCAGCTGTTAAAGGGTGAATACATTTTTGGGGGACAACCTATACTAATCTCTCTGAATTATGCTCTTTTTCTCTGCATGGCCACCAGGGGGCGCAGATGCCTTTTGCGCCACAGATGGGAAACTCCACCTAGCTAACATCTGGGTAGAAGGAAGCATTCAGAACCAAAGAGGGTTCAAATAGCATGGCCACTCACGGACTGTAACTATCTTTATGGGAGGCGATGAAATCAGCATGGAGCACATGCTCAGAGAGCAGAAGAGGGCAAAAGTCTGTTAGAATTGAGAAAAATATTACAGCCCTTTAACCTGAATGCATAGAGCAGATTCTTTTCTTGACTTGAGAAATGAATCTTCAGACTGTCAGTCCCATTTATTGAGAGCCACTCTTGTTGGGTATGCTATTTGTTCCCAAGAAAGAGGACAAATAGGGAAGAGAGAAGGGGGAGTGGAGAAGAGGGTAGTGTTCAGACCTCGCCCCCTTTTCAGAAGGTGTAACTCACCTGGGAATCTCTGCACCACGTAGGAAGCGAGAACGGCTTAAACTTCCCAATAAAAATATTTTTACCTACAACCTTGCTCTATACTTTACCAATCAATTATTTCTCCTCCGTAACAGTGGGTATTATCCCTGATTTATAGATATGGAAACAGCCCCCACCCCCTTCACTCCAGAGAAATGGTGATTTCACCAGTTATACAACTTGTCAGTGGCAGGTGTTCTGACTTCAGCATTGAACTGCTTTAACGTGTCTCTTGAAGGGTTCCCACTGCCTACATCATGAAATCCGAATTCTTCCTTCCAGCCTGCCCTTTTGCGCTTTACTTCAGTTAATTCCTCTAGGACTACCTTCTTTTTAAAATATACTTTATTGATTGTCCACAGAGAGGAAGGGAGAGGGATAGAGAGCTAGAAACATCAATGAGAGAGAATCATCGATCAGCTGCCTCCTGCACACCCCCTACTGGGGATGTGCCCGCAACCAATGTGCATGCCCTTGACAGGAATCGAACCTGGGACCTTTTAGTCCGCAGGCCGACGCTCTATCCACTGAGCCAAACAGGTTTCGGCTGGGTTAGGCCTACCTTCTATCAGCTGTTCAACTTTCGTGATTAGAATGTCCCTCTCCCATGCATTATAGCAGAAACCATACTGGGTCAGAGTTCTTTGTCTACGATACTCTGTCCCCGCCCCGCAATGAATGAGTCTTGAGGGCCGGATCCTAAGACAAAACGTGGCACAGGTAGCGAATAGAATCGAATGGAATTTGGGTCCAATAGACCTACTCGCTCTTCCTCCGCCCTGCGGCAGCGGGACCTACCCGCGCGCACGGTCCTCTTCCTGGGATTCTCCGCTCCCCCGGGGGGACGAGAAGCCAGAGCAGGTGGAGTTGGGGGAACCTGCGGATGGCTGGGCAGCGGCCGGGCACGGCCCCTTTAAGGAGGGAGGAGCGCGGGCGCGGCCCAGGTAAGGGGCGGGCCGGCGGGCGCACCGGCGCTGGGAGCCGCGCTGGCCGGGAGCCGGATCTGGAGCGCGCGGCGCCGGCGGAGCCGGAGGGGGCGGCGCGGCCGAGCCTCCCGTAGCCTCGGACGCTCCTCCTTGCCGGCCGCCGCCGCCGCCCACCTCCGCCTCCCGCTCCCGGCCCGGCCCGGCCCGGCCGCCACTTCCGGCAGCTCTCCTGGGACGCGGCACCCCGGACGCGCTCACCTGCCTCGGGCGCCCGGGCACCAGGATGAAGGACCGGCTGGAGCAGCTCAAGGCCGTGAGTCCCGCCGCGCCCCTCTCCCTCCCCCCCCCCCCCCCGGAGCCCCGGGAGCCCCGGGCGGGCAGGGGCTGCGGAGGGTGAGGCTGCGCGGGAGAGGGACTTCCCTTCTCGCCCCAAGTCCAGGCTGGAGAGGGGCCGCGCCAGGCCTTCCCTCGGCCAGCCGCGGCCACATCCCGCGCCCATTCCAGGCGTCCCCCCTCATCTCCCCCCCCTCCCCTCCATCGGGATCATGTGCCAGTGATTCATCGCTGGACTGCGATTTTCCTGGAAGCCTGTTGCCTCCCTTCTGTCCTCTAATCCCCCCAAACTGGACAGAGTTAGTCCGGAGCTGGGGTCCGCGGGGGGCTGCTTGGGCCGGCCTGGGCGAGCTCTCTGTGAGGTCCGGGATCATCTCCTGCCTGCTGCTGCCTGGCGCTGCGCCCAGGACTGGCCGCTGCCTCTCCTTGTTTCCCTCCTGAGGGGCACCCAGCCCACCTGCCCCCACGCCCGCCCGGGGAGCAGCTCAGAGCTTCTGGGTGACCTCCTGACCTGTGAGCTGGTTACATGCGGAGATCGGTCCAGCTCTGGGATCTATAATTATTAATTTCCCCCAGCATCCCCAGGACAGCTGTGGCGGGGGCAAAGGATCTGAATGAAGGTAGCCCGTCTCCAGCCTTGCTGCACAAAAGGCTGTGAAGTCTTAGGCTACTTACTCTTTCCAGCCTATTTCCTTATCTGTCAAATGGGGATGTTTGTGCCTTAGAGATTTGTTAGGAGATGAAATGACATAATGAGACTTAATACAGAGAAGTGTTAAAGCATAATAGGTTTTGGAGTCAAGATATTCACAGACTCATTCAGCAAATAATTAGAGTGCCGTCTAGGGACAGGGCTAGTGCTAAACCGTGGGCACAGGCTCTGCCTTAATGGAATGAAAAATCTAGCTCTTGACAAAAGCAGTCCATCTACTTGGGAGCTTATGCAGGAGTACTAGCTATTTATCCGTTAACTTCCGAGTCCAAGTATTGTCATCTGTAAGATGGGTGGTTGTGAGGACTAACCCCAAGAGAACACGAAGAGCCCTCTTGTGTGGTGTATGGCACATAGGGCACTAGTAAATGGCAACATAATGCTACTAACTGTTAAGGCACCTTGGAAAAATAGAGACCTCGTACAAGTGTGAGGAACTAATAGGATGATGTCACAGTTGTTTTCCTTTTCCCTCCCTTGGGTGAGATCTTCGTGACCTTTCTCCACCTGCTCCAGGTAGTAGGGCAGCAGAGGAGGCAGGTCAGTGAGGAAGGGAGAGAAGGGAAGGGACAGTTGTGGGAGTGAGCCTTTCTGCATCTTACCTGCTTTCTGTCATCTGAGCCTCACAGTGGTTACTCACAGGGCAGAATATATTGCCATTATTTTTTAAAAAATATATATTTTTATTGATTTCAGAGAGGAAGGGAGAGAGAGATAGAAACATCAATGATGAGAGAGAATCATTGATCGGCTGCCTCCTGCACACCCCACCCTGGGGATTGAGCCCACAACCCCGGCATATGCTTTGAACTAGGAATCAAACTGTGACATTCTGGTTTGTAGATCGCAGCTCAACCACTGAGCCACGCTGTCAGGGCGCCACTATTTTTGTAGGAGAGGAGACTAGAGCTCAGCCTGAGTAGGAGGGATGCCCCAGGTCCCAGAGCTGGTGATTCTCCACAGTGCTCTTTTTCTGATGCATGCTGGCTGGGGAGGCTGAAAGGGAAGAGGAGTCTGGTTTTGAAGGTCTTCCCATGTCAGCAACACCCAGCCATCATAAAACAGTGCAAACCGAAGAGCAGGCAGAGACGGCTCCCTTCCCTTTCTTAGTTAGAGATCCACTTCCAACGGAAGATACCCTATGGCCTCTTTCAATAGCTCATTGTCAACAACTAGCAAAGAACCTTCACCAAGCTTTTGAATTCCAAGTATAATATAAATTCAAGCTTCCTTATTACTCCCTGGAACAGGGAGCTGATGCTGTTTCCTCCCTTTCCCTCTTGGGGTGGATGTGCAAGTGAGACTGCAGACAGTGCAGCTGTCAGGGAAATGCAGTTATTATGGGACTGCAGTTCTGAAATAACAGTGGTCTAGGGCTTAGGAGCAGGGAGATGGGTGGGACTGGGCTGCAGGCTCAAAGGGTCTAGTTGTGACCCTGCCACTTAGTAACTGTACTTAGTAACTGTGTTCCTTTGTGTCATTTTCTTTTTTAAATACATTTTTATTGATTTCAGAGAGGAAGGGAGAGAGAGAGGGATAGAAACATCACACCCCCTACTGGGGATCGAGCCTGAAACCCAGGCATATGTCCTTGACTGGAATCGAACCTAGAACCCTTCAGTCTACAGGCCTACGCTTTATCCACTGAACCAAACCAGCTAGGGCCCTTTGTGTCGTTTTTTTTTTCCTCTCTGTTTCTCTGTTCCTCCTCTGTAAAACAAAGAATTTGGTTGATCTCAATATTAATGTTTTCCTGAAGACTGTTAAGTTTTTATAAATTTTGGTTTCTAGTCCAGTTACTCTCTCCCTCTCCTACCCCCCCCCCCCCCAAGGACAGAGACAGCTCTCATTGCCTTAAGATAATAATCTTCTCTCGATTTCTTTTATCAGGGAAACACATTTGTTAATCAGCATGAAACCAGTTTCACACTGAGCAGCCTATGCAATCTCTTTCTGAGGCATCTTTCTAAACCCTGGGGGAGGAGGAGAGCTGATAACCGCCTCCAGAGATCTGGAGGACAGTCATGGGCGGAAGGTTAGGTTTGCTCTGTATAGATACAGGGAGATGTGAAGTTGACGGGTGGAAGTTATGATTCTGCACGAAAGCATTTTTAGAGGTCAGTGCTGCCCAAGAATCATCGAGGCTGGCTGGAGAGATTGTGAATCCTTTAGCATGGGAGGGAGGAGGCAAGAGTTTGTTGGAACACCGTATGTTGTAGGGATTTGAGTATCTTTGAAGAAAGGAGGCAAATCAGGCGGTTGAAAGGAGATGTGGTTGTGTGAAATGTTTCATTGTGAGCCTGTGCTGAGCACCTTTTAGGCTCTGGAGTCTATAGGACTTAGATCTCAGACTTGCATCTGTAAAGCGGATCCTCCTACCTTTCCCCTCTGGTCATTAGCAGAGTGAAAGGAGGTGATTCATGATAATCACCTACCCCAGGAAGTAAGAATCCCTCCAACTTGCCCTGTTGGGAGCAGCCTCCACTCTGAAGGGCATACGCTCCTGTGGCCATGGTCACGAGACCTGACTTATGCCTTGCAGTGCTCCTCCCGTGGGCTTTCTCAGCAGTCAGCTTCTCCTGCGACTGGGACAGGCTCGCCAGGAATGCGCAATGCCTACCCCTTGCCTATCTGACAAGGCGGGCGGGTCCTGCTGACTTCTCACTGGCTGAACTTTGGATCTGCTGAGTCCAGATGATTGCTGTCCAGGATCCTCTTGCCTGGTCCTCTTTAATAGGTAGTTAGTCACCTATTAAACACGCAGTAAACATTTACTGAGCACCTACTGTGTGCCAGGTCCTTGGGACAGTACTAGGGTATAATGGTGAACACATTTTCCTGGGTCTTGGGGATTTCCCAGACAGACAGGGAGACACACAAGGAACAGACACGTGATGTCATCTTTGTGATGGAACTGCAGGAATACCCTGTGGGAGTTGGTGACAGGGCATTAGGGAGTGGGGACACTTCCCAGAAGAAGTGATGCTTAAGCTCAGGTTCTCCCATAAGTCTTCCAAGGAAGGCAAGGATCCTGAATTCTCTCAAGCACTCTCCCCTTGGCGAATATCCCACATATATACTACGATCGTTGCTCTTTAACCTCTATGTGGTGGGCATGTTCATGCTTATTCTTTTTGACCTCATCCTGCTGGGCATCATAGCCAGAATTATTACATAAAGTCCTGGTCTCAAAGAGTCAGTGGCCATCTAGGGAAAACAAAGGGCTGTAAGTTATGAAAACAAACCTCTCCACCCCCATAATCAAAGGTAGATAATGATAATAGATAAGCCAGTGATGTATGGAATAGAGGTCAAGGACTTTGGACCCTGTTGGAGATCTACAGAGGAATAGAGATGACTTGGGATGTACCAGCCCCTCCAAAACCAACATCTAATGAAATCAACCGCCTGAGGCTCTAAAGGCCAGCCTTACTTTTTGCTCGATCTGTCCTGTCTTGTGTCCTAAAGGGCTTGCTTGTCTTTGGTCCCTTCCCCATCTGAAGATCTAGTGTGTTTTTGGGATCAGAGTTACTCAGGATGATAGTGTTAGTTCAGCCCCATGGAAACATAGACCTGAACTTCCTCTTTAAAGCTAATTCATTCTGTAAATATATATATATGGAGCTTCTACTATATGCCAGGCGCTTTGGATCATAACCAAATCTTAACGTCCTTACTTGAGAATCTCTACATTGAGATCCCATCCTTCAGTGATAAAACCTCTACTAGCCAGTGATTTCTTCCCCAGCTCCTCTCTCTTCCTGGGAGGGTTCATTCTCTGGGTGAGCTGTTTTGCTGTGAGCAGATGGGAAGCAGAGCTGAGATGAGTGCCACAGGGATTGGGTAGGGATTACAGACCCATCAGCCGGAGGCCAGAAGAGAAAATGCTCGGATGAAAGAAGGGGATTAGTTTTATTTATATTCCTGTGAGTGTAGAAGAGTTGGGGTGGGGGGTGGCGCTTGGGGGACTGGCAGTCACTGAGGAAGAAGTGCTTGTTCATGTGTCCTCCCTTCCAGTGTTCTGTTGCCCTTTGTCACAACCATGCCAAAATTCATCACAGGCAATATTCTCCCTCCCTTCCAGCAGCCCTCATGGGCTGTATATTGCTTTGCAGTGAAATACCTTTCTTCTAATAAATCAGTGGGGTTGTTACCATGGAATGGACTTGAACCCATCTTCCTCTTTTTTTTTTTTCCTCCTTTGTTTTATTTTTTTTATTTTTATGAGATGGACTCAGTCTTCTAGGTCCTCTTGTCTTTAAGATTGA